CTCCTTCCGTAGGGTAGATAATTAGCATTTAATTTTGCCATTTTTGGACAAGGGTGCATTGCAATGAGTGCCACACCCAGACCCCGATACGTACAAAGCCCAAATTTTACGTGGAACGAGTTGAGATTATAGGTGACCTAAATCCAAGAGATGGGTACGGGGCCCTTACCGTCTAGGAGGAGAAGCGGTAACGGTAGCCGTCCGGCAGAGCCGGCGGAACGATCTGGACGGGACCAAAACCATGTGTACCGCCAGCGCTAACGCTGGTGGTACAATTAAGTACATGTAGGTTGTACAATGTGTGTGTGTGTGTGTGTGTGTGTGTGTGTGTGTGTGTGTGTGTGGCATCCTTACTTATCCATACTGCATCCTGTGTTAAATTGCACTTTGAGAAAAGGATGTGCTGTTCTGAAGGCCTATCTGTGCAATTTTTACACTGGCACTCCCATGTCCAGTTACTGTAAGTTCCTTCTTGGCAAACCCTACAATCTGAACCAAGGTGACGAGAAAAATTTGTGCAATGGTTCTGGACTCTGTAACCTGGGAAGCACATCTCACAAACATGTGTCTGACCTTCGAGGGTGTAGGCATAATGTGAGTAATTTATTGCTCTGTAACTGCCAACCAATCTTATGTTGTTATCACATGATTCTCCAAACTGAAACTTATAAAGAGATGCTTTGCCCATTCCAGTTTTCAACTGACTGGGTTAATTCACTCAAAGGTTGCATTCACAACAGATGATCTTCCGACTAACTTTTCTGCAGATCTATAATAATAATAATAATAATAATAATAATACGTAATAATTTAGTATAGCCCACAGTTAAAATAATGTCACATAATCAACTAATGGTCTCCCAGCCTCATTTCCACATGCACCATCCATACAGGAGCCTCGGAATTAAACCTAGAAGCTGTTTTGATTTAACTTTAATTGCTAAGCCCCTGCAGGGATAGCATGTGTGGTAGGCAGGGAGAACCTGAGGAGACTATGCAACATTGCTTTCAAGTGAGGTCAGCCATATTTCCACAAACTAGTTAGTCTAAGGATAACCTGTTGTGAATGCAGTCTTATATTTTCTTTCCACTTTTAAACAAAAAATTACTAGTAATTTCAAAATAAGCAAGAAAATAGATTAATTTTTCATGATTTATAAAGATATGACATCTTGACATAAATTTTCTTGTCAAGTATGTCAAGCTCTAGAATGACAGCCCATCACAGATTATTCAAGTGACTGCCTTTGGCAGTATTGGCAAGTTGTACTGGTACAGGTGTAATAGACTGAGTGACATGTATTACTTTTTAAACAATGCAAAGTGTGTTATAGACACTTACAGTTTCATAAGAATGTACATACTCTACTGGCAATACATGCACGATAAACAGGAAAACCAGGCTTTCTCCAGTTTTAAGTACCATGGGAGTGGTTCTCTCGTTATAACTGAAAAATAAAAAAGGGATAAATTAAGGTACTGTACATGATGCTTCATTATTCACAAGGTATAAAAGGTATATCATTGGCACAATCACATGATATAAATTTTGATTCCAATTTCGACACCTTCCTCTTTCTATTAAAGGCCACATTAAGAACAGTGGACTACATGTAACAAGTCTGCAGATCAAATATGGTGACCTACTCAAAAGCTTAATTGTCATCTTCTCTCCCAATAGACACTGAATAGATTCCCTATGGGAAAAATGAAACAAGCTAGGATTCAAGTGGTTCAGACATGTTTGATCTGAAGACGAGTAAGTCTGCTGTTGTGAATGGGGCCTAAGTTAGAGGTAATTAATTTTCATCTGTAATCATTGAGAGCACTTCACAAAAGATGATCCTCAGATCTACACGAAAGTGCAGAGCCGACTAATCCGCTGAGGTGTCATACCCTGAAGGGACAGCGTGTGTGGAAGCAGGAAGTCAGCTCTGCTTCCATGTAGAAGCTGCAATATTTGATCTGCGGATCAGTAGATCCAAGGATCATCTGTTGTGAAATACACATTTCAGCAAATTTTTTCATCCAGTCAATTGACAGTTTTATTAAATAATTCCTATAGATACAGCATATATCTCTTATCAGACCTGAAAAGCGCCATAACATATTCATTTCTTATTGCTAAAACAAGCTTATTTTCCAGATGTTAGTTAATATAATATTAAGCTGCAGTCCGGGGGGATTCTAATTTTGATTTACAACCCTTAAATCATGATTGATTAACATTATCTGCATATCCATAAGATTGACCATCTGCAATCTTACCTGATAACTTAAGAAATAAATGAATATTTTCCACGCGAATTTTTTTGAAGTACCAGTACTGGCATGTGATGTAAATTTCCACTTTCACTTTTGTTTTAGCCCATAATGATAAGGAGCACTTCTATTATGAGGTCTGTATTCGAAAGGTTTCGACATCAAATTTTTTCTTCGATTCATTAAAAAATCGTGAACGATTCTTGGTATTCTCGAAGCTATCGAAAACGAATCGAATCCTTGTCGAAATCGTGACCTAATTCCACACTCGGAACTCTCCTCTCTCATGAGGCGAGAAAATACTGACCACCTGGTCTGCTCTTCTTGTATTTTTTTGTGTAGTAATTTATAAACACCTTTTTTATTTGTAGTATTTTAGAAATAATTTATTGTTTTATAATTTAAAAATCATTGGCAATTTTTTTTGTTCAACTTCAATCTTAAGGTTGCAGTTTCACCAAATAAAACAATTGTTTTTTTTTTTTAATTTTGCTATTTATTGCTTTTATTATTATTATTATTAAATTATTATTATCAACATCATAGTTTTCACATGATAAAAGTTGACATAAATTATACATCACGATACAATACTCAAAATAGAGAAAGTGGTGCCGTTTTTTTTTTTTTTTTGTTTGTTTTTTTTTTACTGTAATTTCGCATTGATGGCAGCATCGATGTTGTATTAGTACCCTGGCTGCCACTGACTTGTGAGTGAGTTAGGCTGGTGTGAGGTCTACCGTCTACCTTGTCTCAGATCTCCTGCTCCGAATCGGACGTGCTCCTGATCGACGATCGCCAGAAATATTCTCACAGAGCCTAACAATAGCCTGTGATCACCCACCAATTCAGTAAGTAGACACAATATTCCACAGTAGGTGCATTGAAAGATTGTTCCGACATGCTCGATCTTTACTGACGGCTTACAGATGTTTGGCATATTTAAGTGTGGCTTCAATTTTTATTAATTTATCCTTTTAGCAAAATCTTCATACAGAAAAAATGTCTTCTGACAAAGTTTTTACAGCACACACTCACTGATGAACAATCTATAAATCAAGAATTACACTTGCTGACAAGTGAAAATTCTTTGAAACGATATCGAGACACGTATCGTATAAGGTCACCTGTCTGCTATGGGATCATTGTGCAAGCCCTTGTTGTTGTTTATATCCAAATCAGTGCCAGCTAGAAAAATTTTTGGGTCGAGGAAGCGATTGCAAAAACACGTACTCAGTACTTAACTTAAAAGTTTATGTTGTTTATTTGTTGTTGTTAATAAGTTGTTATTTGTAGGTAGCCATTGGGGTTAACGTTAAAGTCATAATAACTCTTCGTTTTGGCCAAAAATTGGATTTTCCTGGTGTAAACGGCAATTTTCCCGTACTTACCAATGGTCAACGACCCCATTCCTGCATTCAAAGTTAGTCCAGGGTTTCTTTCCTAAACGCTTGGTTTTTTGTTAAAATCTCTTAAGAGATTTTAACTGACGGAGCTCTCTCTGACATAGTATAGGGTTTTCTGACGACCTACTAAAAACTGTGGGAAAAGCAGACAAAAACAACACTTTATTACAATAAAATAAGATTCATACGATATAAACATCTTATTGCTCAGAATGCATTAATATCCACAACGTGTGCAGTTCTGGGCTATTCGTTATCCGACACACTGTACAAAAACTCGCAACTTACGTCTGAGGATTGTGCTATATCTTATCCTGCCACATTTTATTTTGGTCTCGAATGCACGCGAGAATCCGCGTGATGCGCCAAAATCCTTGGCAAGGAATGCCTTGACGACCGTGAAGAAAGGCACCGAAAGCCCTATTGACAAGCACAGTTTTTAGTTTTACTACAATAACAGCTGTTTTAGTGGTGGAATGCAGTATAATATATTTCCGTGTGTTGTTTAGAATGTATTTCTTGCGGAATTTTGAATCTCAAAGGAAGAGTTATTATTGCTTTAAGGAAACGCAGTCAAATACTCAGAGCTACTTACCCTGACTGCATGCCCATAACAGTTGATGGCAGCAGTCAGATTTTCCTCAAAGCAAGGACAATCCAGCTCTCTGTCTGCCATCTCTGCCTCCATGAAGGCCCTGCCTGCTTCAGTCAGTGCTTGGGCCTCACCTGCTGGGTTGGCCAAGGTATGCTCACATCTGAAATCACATAATATGGGCATGGTACAATGCAAGGTTGTCAAATGTAATACAAGACTGAGGATTTTGCAAGTTTTAATACAAAGGGTCATGAAGCCATGTCATACTCGGGGATTGAAAAGTGATGAGGCAAACCACTCACTAAAAAAAAAAAAGCCTCCACCAACCCTGTGGCCAGTATTATCAGTAAAATAAATATGGATAATTTCAGGAAGAAGCAAGTGCATTATCTGCTTCAACCTGCCTAATAGAATATATTGCCTTGGTCATAATTAAGGGCTTTCCTGAGGTAAGCAGCAGGGCAGGGTCTTAAATTAAGGCAAACATAGCTATGGCTCTGTCCAATAATTAAGTGCTGTTTTTGTCTCTTAAATAATAAAATACTTTCTATTCAGCAGGAATGGTTATACAACCTTGCTTGTGCTAAGGAACAAAAGCCTGCATATTGCTGGCATTCTTGCTGGCGGAAAGTCTTCCCTAAAGAAGCTGAAATTGTAGAAGATAACCAATGTATACTACAGAGATACATGTACTACAATCAGATTCATTATAAACTTTAAGTATTAATGTTGTAACTGAAAAATTATTTAAAATTCTGCAGTGATGAAGTAGAGGATGAATTATACTCACCAAACTGTTCGCTGCCCTCTGCAACATTGGGTTTCTTCAAGAACCGTCTGGAAATCAACAGTGAAATGCTTCATAATGATCTTTCTACTAAATAATAACAGAGACGTAGAGAAAGTTCCACTTTCTCTACTTCTACAATGTATGATAATAAATAAAATCTACAACATAATATTAATACGTTGCAGGAGACTGTGAAGTAGATTGCATGTAAATTACAACTAAATTAAAATATGATTGGGCAGACATCAAACAATGAGAGAGAGAGAGAGAGGATTACTTCTTAAGTTTGTTAGAAATACTCCTGTATCTGCCAAGGTAGTCGGCATCTCGTTCCATCACAAGTTCTCTGCTCTGTCAGAATGGTTGCCTTAGAAGTGAATCATCTGTTGCGGAAAGAGATTGAAATAAAATCAAAGTATAATAGCAAATTGTCATTAATCGACCCATTTTATTTCATAATTAATGCAATATAATTAAACTCTTCAAAGACACATAACTCAAAGTATATAGACATAAAAATCATTTACATTTTCCGGGACACAATCCTAATTTTAGTAACCCGGAAGTAATACAGAGGGTGTTCCCTGTCGGACATACGGACAGACATGGCGAAAACCTATGATTATCTTTTCAAGCTTCTATTGATTGGTGATTCGGGGGTCGGGAAAACTTGTGTTCTTTTCAGATTCTCAGAGGATGCATTCAACTCCACATTCATTTCCACTATAGGTAAGTTGCTTGTCTTTGCCTAGATTATTTTCATGAAAAATGCGCCGCTGATATTGATAAGATTTAGATCGTTGACGATTTCGTGCCGCTGTGTTCCGCGGTAGTGGTGCTGATAGTCTGTTGCTGCATATTTTTTCGACCTTCTTTAATTATGTGTCCATGGATAAGTTGATATTTGAAAGAGTACGGCATGGTGCATTGAAGAAATAGAAAATAAAATACCCGTATGCTGTTTTAAAGAGGGAGAATATCTCAATCGTGTCATTATTGCAGAGTATGTTCATGTAAATTTATCACTGACGGATGGAAGTAATGTAAATTATATCTACAAGTTGAATGTCATATTGAGGTATCATTGAGCTGTCAATGTGGTTTAATGTTTCGTTTGTATTGTTAATTTGATGCCTTTACCATTTATACTTTCTATCAGACTATGTAATCAGATAAGTTTAAAAATTCATGTTATGATAGGAGGATACTAAAAAGAGGATAAGTTAATGCATATATGTATCTGGTCACTCATAAACATTTGAAAATTTTTGAAACTATCATAAAAATAAAGAGAAATTGTTTTGACTTATATATTTTTGATCACTAAGATTTGCATAATATTTATGTTATAAAAATCAAATGACAATATTGAAATCATTTGACCTAATCCTTTTTTCTTAAAAGATTATTTCCTAAATTTTTTACTTAAAAATAAAGCACTAAGGCTGTAGAATTTATTTATTTCATTTTCTTCACATCAACCGTTAAGTAATCAATTTCTGAACTAGCTGCAGTAAATGAAATGTATACAAAAAATAATCCTAACTTTGTTTTCGTGTCTTGTATATATTTTGGTTGATTTAGTAGTAAAGTGAATGTTGTTGAAAGATTGCCAGAAAGACTGTGGAAGTTTGCCCAGGTGTGTCATGTACCAGTGTTTATGTCTTAAAGAGCAGATATTTCTGTTGGCTGCATCCAGTGCATTTGTGAAGGATGTTGCTAGGTGAAATGCTGCTGATGTTGCTAGGCTCAAACTTGCTCTCCTCAAATGATAAATTATTATGTTTTTAATTTGACAAAAGGAGGTTAGATAATATATATGTTGATTATTTTGGCTAATTCATCATTATTATTGTGAAGAAACTTTACTTAACTGGGATGTAAGATATTCAAGAGGAATCTGAGGAATCTTAAAAAATACACTGATGGACCGCATTCACAACGAGTTGAGCCATGGCTCTACAAATCCAGAACTAAATATGGCGGACGTACATGAAAGAAAAACCGCCTAATCTTTTAATAGTCTCTCCCCCTCTCACACGCTTCCCCATGTGTCGTCCCAATGGAGCCGAGATTTAATGACTGTACCCCCGCAGGGACGACGCGTGGGTAGGCGTGTGAGAGGCGGAGAGACTACTAAAAGATTAGGCGTTTTTCTTTCATGTACGTCCACCATGTTTAGTTCGTGGATTTGTAGAGCCATGGCTCAACTTGTTGTGAATGCGGTCATGGATACAACTATTATTTGTAAATTTTTACAAATTTTTATCATTTTATTTATTTATTTATTTTTAGTTTGTTTTATTAATTATTATTATTATTATTATTATTTTGTTTAAAACCTTAATCGATTTTAAGAACTTTGGCAGGGAATTATTAATAACCTCTGTTGTTGCTCTCAGTGTGACTTTTTATTGCTCCAGCGATTAATGTTCTATACCTAGAAATTAACAGTGGGATACAGGAATATTAGTGTATTCAGACTTGGAAAACAGCCAAATAGCAAAAATAGCATGGGGTCTCCCTGGCATATTGGAACCTGATGTTATTTCAAATGGATATCAGTGTATTAATTCAAATATGACCAAGATGTCCAGGTGTTGCTGTGCATACCTTAGGTGGTTCACCTGTATTAATTTATATGTACAAACCTGCCCCATAGACCATGGGTTTTAGAAGACTAAAAAGAATTGTCTTTTTGGACCAAAAATGTCTGTTCTGAAACAAAAATTTGATTTAGATACTGTGCCATTTTTCGAGTTGTTATATTAAGGAACGAGAAGATCCACATTTGTAGAAAAGAATGCCCTTTAAAATTACTGGTTTCAGGTCTGCAATCCTTACTGTACTCTTGCATGAATAGGTTACAGAAATCTTTTTTTATCACTTGCCAAGTTAAGAATATGAAGGTTTAGCTAAAAAGAGGTTTTAAAAAGACAGAAGTGAGTTTTGGAAAGTGGGTCAAAACACTGAATAGTGCCTCTAGCTGTATGCATAGAATACTAGTAGTTTATTGACCATACACCATTACAACTAATCTGTTTTATGATATTAAAGAAAATGAAAATGACATGCCAGGATACGTTTGCTTCACATATATAGCTTCAAAATTCTGTTATTGCAATCAGTTCTATTCTGCTATTATTCTGAAGCAGTCATTGACATATTTAGCAATATATAAAGCATATAAAATATGACAAAGCATATAATATCCATTTGTCAATTACCCAGTGTATGTTTTTAAGGTTCCCATGGGATCTGCCCCCTTGATCACAGAACTGGCACCCCAGTGTTGCCTAGCATGTTATTTCTGAGAGATACAAAAAAGGGGCATGCCATAAAAAAACAAACAAAAAAAAACAACATTTTCTATTTTGCCCTGATTACAAAACCATAGGTCATGCATAGAGTGCTCTATCAAATGATAAGGAAATAAATCAAGAACCAGGATGTTACCAGCTTGTAAAGTCATGTTTCCAGTCAAATTGGGTAGTTCTTCATCAGTACCATTTATCTCAGCAAACTTAGGATTTATGACGTGCTCAAGGGAGGCAACAAATCTTAACTATCCCATTCACTGCTATTTTAAATGAAGCAAGGTGCATGCCATCAGATTGGCTCCTTGACGAGCAAGTAGCAATCAAACTATTTGTTAAAAATGTTTTTACTAAGTGAAGTCGGCCCAAGTTTGCATGGAAATGCAGTTTATGTATCACATGCCCCCAAAGGCATATTTATCCATTTAGACCCAGTAGTAAACATTTGAGTCATGCTGTTGTAATGGCTTGGATAATGTGTTCTACATTCTGAAATTCCAAAGCTTACTCAGATTACTCTGCTGTTGATTTATGGGGTCTGTGCAATGAAGTTGCAGGAGATTTCCCCCCATTTCTCACAGATGTATTTCTTCCATTTTGTCATCATTCATGTACATTAATACCCCTTGAGTTGACAATGAACAGTTGTAAAAAATCAAGAGAAAGCACATCCCCCTAACTTTGATGGGTAGGGGTGGGAGATACAGTGCTGTTGGTTTTGATTTCGATTTTAAAATTGATTTGCTGTGAACTACAGCCAGTTCAACATTTTGTTCATCTTTGATTTTGAATTTCATCTGAAGAGTGATGTCACTTTGTGGAAGCAAACCACTGGCCAGTGATAACAATGGGCAAGGGTGGCTGGATTTGTTGGGAGTGTCCAATAGTCATAGTGTGACAGTACTTAATTATTGGGTGGATCTTTGTTTTCTTGCTGATAGATGTCTTTGTGGTTCTCTGTGCACCTTACTAATGGGAGGAAGTTACAAAATATATCTATATTATAAATCTGAAGTATATATTACATTTTTAGCCATACAAACTAATCTGATGATCCATTGAGTTTGACGTATTAGGATTATGGAACATAAACTTTATGATTTTACCTTGATTTTATGCAATAATATGGTATTTTCTTTAAACAGAGTAGAAATTGCTGGTTGTTGTGTTCCACTGATTGAAACAGAAAGAGGCTGCATCAGTGATCGGAGCAGCTTCAGGTGTTTGACACAACTTGAATGCACCTGATTTTGTTATTTTAAATCCTTGTTCATGTTTGTGTGTTGTTTTTATTTCAGGAATAGATTTTAAGATCAGAACAATAGAACTGGACGGGAAAAAGATCAAGTTACAGATATGGTAAGTTTCATTGAAATAGGAAAAAAAGAGAACTTTGTAAGAAAACATTTTGTTATTTCATACTGCTGATGTAACCTTACTAGTACTTTGTTGTGTATTTAAAAAAAAAAAGAGGGAAAGCTAAGTTTACAATCCGGTAAAGGTGCTTTTTGCTATCAAGGACTTTTTAGTCAGTAATGTCATGTACGTTAGAATATTGCTGTACATGTTAAGACCATTTTGAGTCACATTCTTTTGTAAAACTGGCTCTATATTTTTAATTTTTCAGTCAAGCTGAATTATATCCATCCAAAAAGAAGGGCTTAACAACTTGTGTGAACCCAGGGATGGAATGTTTATTGTCCTGATCACTAGATGGTTGTTTTCATCAGATTAACTCCCAAATATCTCATTATTTGACAGTTTATATTGTTTTGCTATTCTAGGGACACAGCAGGCCAGGAGAGGTTTCGTACAATCACCACAGCTTACTACAGAGGGGCCATGGTGAGAACAATTATCACATGAATGACTTTAATAATTACATGTCCATTATTTTGATCAGTTAAAATGTACTTTTGCTCCCTTTTTAAAATTTTCCTTGAAATAAAAAGCAGTTACAAAAGCTTTGGCTTGGACTAACAAGGGATTGATCATTGAAATAATGGCTAAAAATAATTAACCTATATTTAACTCGGTTCCATATACATCTAAGGACAAAGGAAAATTTTGGAGTGCATGCATGAAATATTGACGTCATGAAAATAGCAATAGGTGAATATAAAGTGGCAGAATGTTATCAACTGCTTAATGTCCTATCTGCCTCTCGTTGTTTATTGTTACACTACTCAATCAGTGATTGTTTTATGGCATTTGATAGCACTTTTGTAGGATTAAAAAGTACTTTTATTATGAGTTCTACAAAAAGAGGTGATGGAATAAGTTTGCAAAATGTCAATGATAAAAGACCTGTTGAAGATGACTGGGACAGGAGTCACTAAAGGTGATGATTCATAATGATGCTGAAGTTTAATTATTATGGATAGGTAATTAATATTATCATTATTCTTCACTTTCCAGGGCATTATGTTGGTATATGATATCACAAATCAAAAGTCTTTTGAGAACATAAGGAATTGGATCAGGAACATTGAGGAGGTGAGTTTTGTGCCATATGCAGTGATAAGAGATTGACTCTTGACATTGATATGATGGGACAATATTGATACAGTGCCAGAATAGATAACCTAGACCCTCCAGTGAAAATATATCTCCTATTACCTTATAACTGTCCCCAGATAAGGTTGCATGGTATTGATTTGTACCCCATTTAATATAAATGTGTATTTACATAAATAGCTAATATAATTGTATCTTTGATAAAATTGAGTTTTTTAGCTTGTTTTAACTAACCACAGGTGTGATTGGTTAGTCTGGATACAGGGCATCAGCACTGTCATAGGGCACATAAATAAGAGTCTTTGATCTTAAACTTACTTAACTGTGATAAATGTGTGGTTGTTTGTATATCTAAGTCTGACACATAAATACTGGCTCTGTGTCTTATGCCTGTAAATTAAACCAGGGTCAGTAAAATTCTGTTCTATTGGTGAACACTTTCTGCTG